GGTACTTGGCTCTTACGATTTTCACGCTGGTACACAGCTTTGCATGCATTACCTCGTAATTAACATCCTGGAACGCAACGGGGGTGGTTGGCGGGGGACGACGAACGAAGCGAAACGGTGTAAGTTTAAGAAGCCCATGGGGCCGACAGCAGGTTGTAATTCAATTCGTTGATGGGGCATTGTAAATTTCGAGATTCCCGCGTTTCTCGACCGGGGAGCCTCAGGGGCACCTCGACGGGCCCGATAAAAACGAAATTAAGTTCGTGTTGTTGCGCCCGGAAATTAGTTTCAATGCGGCTGGGATTGCGCCGCGGCGGATCAGACTGGTCGAAATTTATTTGTTGTACGGTGTAAGTCTATTAGAGTAACGACCGTTGCCACCCGAGTTCATGGGAGGGGGGGGGGAATCTTCTGCAGAAAAAAAAAGAAGAAGTAGACGTATTAGAAAGGAATCTTGGGTTCAAATCCCGACGGACCTATTGGTTTTTTTTCGCGTACAAAAATTAATTTGTACGTGAACAATGCAAGCAGATCATTTTCGTGGTCCATCCCCTGTATCTACTAAAAAAGTACTCGGTCGTTCACTCGCGCGTATTCAGGTTATCCTTCGATCGATTCGGCAATTCCTAGTCATCGTCAGTTACATCTACGCGTATTCCATGCACGGAACACAATGAATTTTCCGGGGGAACGCATGGAGATGCGGAACGCATCCGGACCGTGAACCGGGAGTGTCTCGATCGCTAATGGTTCGGCCTGGGGGGCGGTGGGGTTGGTTGGATGGTCCAGTGATTAATTGTGTCAGCCATGATTACATTACAGAGGACGCAGATTCCGCTATATTATATACGATCGTACATGCGTGTGTCTCCCGCGAACGGTCTGTTACACCCGCGTCGAACGCACTCGCGCGTGTCAGGTGGATGTGTTGGAGGAGCAAGCCCTCGGTGCTGCTTGTGCTCCGTACTGTGTACCAGGGCTGTAACTAACCAACGCCAACAGGGATGAAACGGCATGGCTGGAAAACGTTTGACGACAGTTTGGCATTGCAAAGTGTGCATGCATATTACACGAGCGACCTGGTGGTTCCCGATGTCGTATCTGAATTTTCCTCGGGGCCCGTGAAAATTTCATGGCTACCGCGTTTCTATTCGGAGAAACTGAAGCACGTTCAATTCACCGACGGGAACGTTTATACGAATTTCTAATTGGCTGCTCCTCTGGAAAAGCGGTGTACAAATAGAAGACCAGTTTTGTAACAGAATGCACCTCGAGGGAACTCTTGTTGCATGGCTGGATTTACTATTTTCTCGGCCGGACAATGGTTTTACGTAAACGGATGTATAGCGTGAGGTACCTAAAACAGGCCACTTGAATATCCTGGCTGTTACTGGTGACAGAAAAGAATGTGTCAGATCAAACTTGAATGGTATCGAGGAGCGTATAATTTGATGTAAATAGTTTTTTGGTAGGTGTAAATAATTACCCATTTTATTATTGACCATGGGACATTTGTTCCACGCGTTATTATTCTCTCCTACCCTTTTGTATCATCAATCGTACAGTCAAAAATATAAAAGAAAAGTCCTTTAAAATTCACACCTTCATGAAGATGCTGAGAACACTCCAGTCAGTGAACGATAACGTCATCGAAGAGAATCTCAAAAATGATTAAAACTCTTGTTCACTTACCTACTTTTACATACATAAAATTACAAGTTTCAAAATTTTCGATTGCTTAAGCTAAACAGCCGTACCATCTGCTAAATTTTAATACTGTACTGAATTGAAATTTGGCACTTGCCTTACTACACCCTACAAGAAAAAAATTGGGTTTTGCCCCCCCCTCCCACCCCAGAGTTACAAAATTTTTCCGTAACATTTAATATTGCAGTACAATTTGAAACACAACCAACAGCCTCTATTAACAAAACGTATACATTTTCAACGATTAATGGCTTTAAAAACAAAGTAAATTGTGTCTGGCTACGCACAGCCTTTTCCACTGTGGCAGTCGATGTGTCAATATTTTTGCCCACCCCCAACTGATAACCTGGCTACGCCCATGACTGTACCACCGCGCGAACTCTCGAAACGGGGATCAATTCACGGATCTACTTCATTAGCGGTTTAATTTCCGGAAGCTCCTCCCGTGAGAACGTTTCACCAAAAATTTTCCAAGAATCTCCCGATGGCTGGTTTGCGTATCTCTTGATTCGTTCGAGAGAAATTCGAACCCCCCCCCCCC